AATAACACTGTTTGCACTCTTATTTGAGCACTTCATTGAGACAACCTTGTCTACTGTTTCAGTGATCACAGGAGTTGTCTCATCTTCCATTAAATTTTGCCGCTAGTCTTTAGCTCAGAGGTCTGGGAGGGGGTTACTGACTTAAACCCTGACAGGGTTTAAGTTAACTTTGCATCACAATAGAAATGAGGAAACATCTCGTCTGGCACAGTTCAACTGTCAGCAAAGATGGAGGAAAAACAAATCAGATTTTGACCTTTCGTGGCACCAGATGGACACTCAGATAATTAACAGTTTTTTTGTATTCACTTTGAAACTAAAATAAATGTGTGTACACAATTAGATAGTTTTAATAGTTTTCAGAAGGCTACGACCACAATTGAAGAAAAAAAAAGTTGGGATCCTGTATAAAAGGTAAATAAGAAAGGAATGCAATGACTTTTGAATGATTTATTCACAAAATAACAAATGCTTAAACTGAGACTTTTTAATATATCATTAAAAATATTAACTGAATTTGTATTTGATTGGAGCTACGTGTCTTAGAAAAGTTGGAATGAAACTTCAACTTTGCATTATTCATTATCTGCAGTGCATAATATGACAAAAAGGTTCAGAGAATCTGGAGAAATCTCTGCGCGCAAAGGACGAGGCTGAAAATCAGCATCGGACACCTGTGATCTTCAGTCCTTTGTGCATTAAAAACAGGCATTTAGATGACTGCATGGGCTCAGCACTGCGCCATCATAAATGTTAAGGGTTAGACATCCCTGACATATATAGACTGTTATTAAAAGAAGGGGGATGGTACACAGTGGTCAGCATGGCCCTGTCCCAACCTTCTTTGTTTTTTGAGAATTGTGCTACATCAAATTCACCATGAGATAAATATTATTTAAATGAGATGTTTTTGGTTTTTTAATTGGGAATAAAATATGAGTTTATTGAGTACACTGGAGAGACCAAACAGCCACTTCATAAACGCATGGCACAGCATAAAAGAGCCACCTCCACGGGACAAGACCCAGCTGTCCAGCTGCATCTAAAGGACAACGGTCACTCTTTTAAGGATGCCAATGTTCACATTTTGGACAGAGAGGACAGATGGTTTGAAAGAGGAGTGAAAGAAGCCATTTATGTCCACTGTGAACAACTATCTTTGAACAGAGGCGGTGGCTTACGACACCAACCGTCTGCCATCTATAAACCAGTTTTGAGATCCCTTCCCAGACACCTTAAAGCCCACTTACATCCTGGGCCGTCTGACCTCAGGAAATCACATGATAGGGTTGGGCTAGGTTTCACAATGGGTCCACCTGAAACCTTGGCTGATTGTGACCCACACCCGTTTTCACACCTTGGCTTCTGGACTCTTCACCATTCAACCTTAGAACTGAAGAAGCTTCTCGGATGAGAGGTGAAACATCTTAAAGAAAACTTAAAGAAGTCTTTCCAAGCTCCTTAGACTATGAGTTTATTAAGATTTTCAAATCATTGCATTCTGTTTTTGACATTTTACACAGCGCCCTAGCTTTTGTTAGAACTGGGGTTGCACATTATAAACAACACACGCCAACTTTACAGTGGCACTGGAAGAAAAGTCCAAGGGTTTGTCCACCTGCAAACATAAAAATGTATAAATGTAGCTGCTGAGATGTTTCACTTTCAGATTTTTCAGGCTGTTAAAAAGAAATACAAATTCTTACGTGATAAAAGGTTTTTGTCTAAGTGAAGACTGCTCTTCGTTCAGTCACTACATAAAGACGACATACCACAGAAATAAAACACACTAACGCCACCGGCATTGCATTTATCTGAGCTCTGGGTTGCATTAGTATATTTTAAATTCTGTGACATTCTTGTTTGGAGGTCTTTCATGACCGCATTCTTCAGATACAGAGTCTTCACATCTAAGCATTTGTATCATTATAAGGCAGAAGTGATGTATTTATGAATGCACTGTACCATAGAAATTTCCCGGCTTTTGTTTTTACTGGTGTGCTTTATGAAAACATTATGAATTAATTCATATCATCGTTCTATCAGGATCAGTTGGAAGTCTTGACTTCTGTCGGCAAACATCCATGTTTTTACTTTTCCTCATCAAATAAACTACAAAGGGATTACAGCAGAGATAAGAACTTTTTGTTTTGGAGGTAATGAAGTTTAACATCAGAAGCAGAAGGTGTGCCGGGTTATCCAAAGGTCTCCTTCGTGAATGTGGGGTTTTTTTAAGTTGAGGAAAAGGAAAGTCGAGGATGTCCTTGATGCTTTAAGAGGAAAAATAAAAACGTTATCTAAATACAGTCATTCTGTGGGATTGCGTTTGTCTGCACCGAGCTGCTTTTCCCAGGCTATGGCACAAATTAATAACCAAGAATAAAGCAGATGTTAATTAAAGGTTGACTGAGATTAATTATGAAATGCAAATTATAAATGAACTTAGGAGAGATGGGTGCTTTCAGGTTTGGGTCACTCTATGGCAAGACGTGTAAATGTCAAACTCCTAATGAAGAAAGCCTCATTTTCTTACATACTTTACACCGCGTGAAGAGTTTGGGCCGCGTCCTAAAGACTTTTAATGTCTAGGTATTATAATTGGAATAAAAAACACAATCAGGCCAGTTATGCTTTATCATCTGTTGACAGTTTATTAGGGACGTCAGGCTGTCTAATGGCTCGATCACATTAGAGTAATAATGCGATGACCGGGTCTTTGCATTGCATTGAAATTTTTTTTCTTGCACGTAGTTGCGGTGAACGGCTGGTTGCTCAGAGGTGGAGTTGCATTGCATAGTTTGCCTGGTGGGAGGCAACCTGTCTCCAAACAGCTGTGGTCCAACTCGGAGTGACTGCAGTCACTCTGGGACAGATTGGCAAATAACTGTCGTCCAATTTATAAATACAAGCAGGTTGCCAATAAGCACAACTGCTACGTGTCTCTTCTGATTCTATTCTCTTATAAAAGCAAGGTTTCTGAACTTTGTGCATCCTGCACCAAAGCACCAAATCTGCTTTGTAGACAACAACAGACTGCGAGTGATTGCAGGCCTTGTCCCTGAGATGCTCATTGCATGCAGTCGCACTAATTTTCATTGTGCCATGTTGTCCAACCAGGTGACGGTAGCGTGATGAAACAGTCTTGCAGCCTTTGTAAAGGTATGTGTTGAGGTGTTTGCTTAAATTCAACAAGAGACACTCAGTGTACTTAATGTTTCACACATCATGAAGATGGACCACCACTGTAGCTTTTTAGCTGCACAAATTAACTTTATGATCAGCTTGTTCGTTCATATTTCATAGCCAGACTTGAAAAGATCTACAATTCCTCCACAGAAACAGAAAAGTAAAAAACCAAAAACCAAAAAAAAACAAGCTGCCAAAAATAATTGCTGGATAAAAGTCAGAAGGATATTTATATTAAAGCGTTAAATCATCAAAGTACACAGAACTACACCTTTAAACTGATGCACCTCGTTTTTCCTTCAAAATAGAACCCTGACTGAGAAGCAGCAGCCTTCAACAGTCAAATGTCAAGTGCAAATAAAAAGTCTCATGTAGCCAAGTTACCGTTTAAATACATTTTATTTATTATGGCTGGAATATGTGCCAACATGGATAATTACAGAAAGGCCAAAGTCAGACAGCAACATCACAGCACGAGTGTCTCTGCTGGGCTCATCACTGACTTTATGTTCTGAAGTTTAGGAGGAAACAAGAGAAACGGAGCGAGAGAGGAGCTTTTTTTTCTTCTTCTTAATTTATGACATATTCTTGCTTAAAAGTCTGTGAGACCATTTCTGAATCATCACAGTGCACATCTGTTCAGAAATATGAAATGTTGCCATCTTCATGGTTTCATTTGCTTTGCAAGAAATGCCACAACAATGTTCATGAGCAACAGGGCAGCCTAGTATCACGTGGATGTCCCACCAATGTACAGTATTAAGTGCTGATTTAAAAACAGACTATAATGCAGAGAACATATACTACTCCTTGTGAAACCATTGAAGAATCTCCATTGATGACATTTCAGCAACTGGAACATCTTCATATTATACTTTTCACCACTTACAAGAGTGGTGAGGACTTTAGGAAAATAAATGGCATCTTGCACAGACATTCCTTCTAAAAAACTAAGCTAGACAAAAAACCAACATCAATAACAACAACAATAAACTTGTAAAAGGTTGGACTTCCTTTTGCAGGCTTTTCAGGCAAATAGTGGCAATAAATGATTTATGGTGGGAGGACTCGTGAAGTTCATGATGGTGACAAAATAACTGAGCAGTACTCTGACCGCAGCTGTTTCATATCATTCCTCAACTGTTCTGTCTCAACTGTTTCCATTTAATAAAGGCAGAAAAATATCTTAAAAAAAGATTTACCTGCTGTAACATAATAATAATAATAAAAACCACACTGTGATGTCATGTTTTTCATACCAGATCATTTAAACTGATATTAAACATAATTTAAGGTGTGACCACACAAAATTCAAGGGAATCAGAAGAGGGCGCAATCACAACTTCCACTCCATAAACGTCCAGTGTTTGTCTGATATTCACAGCTGGAACATCGGCTGCGGTACAGCGACTGTACCGAAAGCATGCAGTACATAGCTTACACTGTATTTCAAGACATTTTTGGTTTTTTCTAGAGATGGACTGATCCCATATTACGTATCGGTCCGATACTGACCTAAATTACTGGATCAGATATTGGAGAGAAATAAAAAATGTAATCCGGTCCATTAACTATCACAAAAGCACCTCACAAAACTTGCGACATGGCGTAACCCAGCTCATAACCGTAGCACGTCGGAGGAATATGCGTCACGTGATAGAGCGGCTGTGGCGTGCGAGACCTGGGAGGCGGTCTGGTTGAGCATTTGGAGCCTCGCTATGTGCTTCCAAACCGGCATTTAATCTCTGAGAAAGGTATCCCAGAGAAGTAAAGCAAGCATCTCTGAGTGTTTGTAAAGCATTCCCACGGTGAGTTTAACTTAAAATGCAGCAAGATATAAAAAAAAAAAGTTTTATTGATTATAAAATATGCTATATCGGATTTATATCGGTATCGACAGATATCGGACATAAAAAAGTGGTATCGTGCCATCTCTAGCTTTTTCATTCTTTTTGTGTGTGAGAAATACTCAAATATGAATATTAATTAAATTGTAGTTTAAATGCACCAGTATGGATTTCTGCACATTTTCACCAAACTTACAAAATCATCAGTCACATGGGTTTAAAAACCTGTTGTACTTGGACTTGTTGTGATTGACCTCACCTACTCTTATCTCCACATGATGGACTCAAACCTTAAACTGTGCATGTCCACAGCGTTTGTGCTGTGGACACAAACACCATGAGTGAGAAAGAGCAGTATTAGCCTAATTTTGTTACACGAGGAGGTTCAATCAGACGCAGGTCTCATGCAGGCTGTGCAGCTGCTCTAACGTGGGTGCTGAAATAAAAAGGAGGATTCGTGAATGCCACGCACAGGTAAGCAGCTTGTTCGGAGCTTTGCGGTCGCTAATTGTTTGTCCATTTTTGACATGAAGGGCAAACAGATCAAAACTAAATAACACAGCAACCTTCAGCATTTCCCACATTAAGAACAACACGATTACCCATCTGTGACGCTTCAGTAAACATGTACTTTCAGTTTCTGATCATTCATAAAGGTTGTTGATTTACAACTTAAAGGATGAAACCGCGTTGAACTGATAAAAAAATTAACCGCTGGCTCATGTTTTGCTTGTTTTTTCCCCATTGCATTCGTTTCCATCGATTCACACGCTGTGCAGGTCGCGCCACTGTAAGCTACGTTCACTGTGAATACGGGGAAGCAATGCAGGTTAATTGCACTTAAGCATTACACATTTCATAAAAACCTTTCTGAAACAATTCATTTTAGTCACTCGGCCTCTTACATTTGCCTCATTCACGAAAAATCAATATAATTCACCGTCTATATCGTCTTTGGTGTCAAGTACACTGCATTAACATTTTCCCTTTACAGCAAAATAAAGCGATCTCTTAGGCAACCCAGTGAAATGTCTAATTCTGAATAATACATGACATTTTATTCTAAAGTAACTTAGTGGTCACAATGTGACTAAAAGAGCATTTTAAACAGTGGTGCTTTATAAGGGGAGATTATGCTTTTAGCTGCATTTTCCTTCAGTCTTAATGGCTTCTAGAATATAGCAGATAACACTCAGCCTCACCAGTTCAGGAAAAACTCTATGCAGATGTTCAACTCCAGGAGCTAAAAGTAAGTACATTTTCGGGGGTAGGGGTGGGGTGTCTTGATATTGCAGTCACAAATCAAGTTTGCTGAGGTAAGAAATTATAGCACTGGAAAAATAGGCACACAGATGGGTAGTTACTCACAGGCAAAAAACCTTAACATTCATGGGAGGGCTGTCAACAGTAAAGCACAAGACGGCTATTTGGGATGCCATCATCGACGCAGAGCGTAACTCTGCCCGCGCCCGAGTCTTGTGCTTTGAAGTTTCTTTTCGTCTCTGATGCTTTAAAATCAGCCGACTTTAATGGTCACTGCTTTTTGGGATTCCCTTGAAATGGAAAGGATCTCCAGGTGCAGACCCGTCGATGCAGAGATTAATATTCAGTTTAAAGGACGCGAGCGCGCTCCTGGGTGTCTGTTACATCAAGAATCGTTCAGATAAAGTAACATCTAGTGATTTCGGTCCATTCATAATAAGGTACTTGTCCAGTGCGCGTGGACGTATTTGACCCTGAATCCTTTGATGTGTGTTTGGGATCAAACGTTCGGGTCCACCACAGTTTGCCGACAGGAAGAAGTCACATGCGTCCCTGAGCCAGCTGAGCTCGCCTCTCCTCCAGACAGCGGCACACCCACATCGACACCACCTCCGCATTTCCATCGTTATACTGTACGATGAAGGGATGATCCTGTATGAAGGAAAAACACAAGCGCTTAATGATTCTATTTAGAATATCTAAGAAAAGGTTGTGGAGAACAAAGCGAGCACATTTAAAGACTCAAAGTTAAATTTTAAAAAATAAAAAGGTATTTGTAAGTAAATAAAGGCTGCTGGGAATCAAAATGAGCCAATTAAATTAAGGTTCTAGTAATAATTTACTTTTTTTTTTGCAACAAAATTTACTGGATTATATCGTAAATCATACTTTTCACTTTTTTAACAAACATAAAAATAAATACAACATATATGACCTTCATAATAACTGCTATGTGGTAAAAAATGAACTAAAGTGGCTGTAAAAACACAAGTAATGAGCTTTCTCATAAAAAAAAGAAAAGAAAACTCAAATGTTTCCACCCATTCTACAATATTATTTTATTATCAAACAGATTGGAGCCACAAACATTATTACATCTTTATGCGAAGTGTACGGTGTAGCAGCTACTTGCATCTGAGTCATGATTCACAAAATGATAAAATGCAAACAACTTAAACGGGAACATCATAAAACCCTCTTAAATATTAATGTCCAACAGATTTGGTTTTAAAGACAGAACGTTTAAGTAATGGCTTGTCAGAGCATTTCAAACAAATATCTTTTAAGTTTAATGAGCTACGTGAGTCATAACAGGATGTGGGATGAGCTTTGTAATAAAAGACAGCCATGGCAGAAACACAGCCCAATCATGAACGCTCCTTCTGAACACATTTTCCAAAAAAAAAAAAAAAAGACTAATTCTGAAGCCTTCTTGTGCTTCGGGAAACCCACCAACACGACCCTGTAGCCCATCGAGCCGTCAGACTCCAGCACCATTCACTTGTTACTGCTGCAGGACTTAAACAGAGATGTCACATGTCAGCGGTCCTAGTAACCAGACTCATCTGGAGGACTGTGGACCAGAGGTTGCAGAGGTCACAGAGGGTCAAGAGGTGAGAGGGGAGGAGGCTGCAAATGAGACAAATCAACTCGGACTAACCAGGAATTTTATTTGAGTGTCTAGATGTCCAATTAGGTAAACAGCGCTCTGGCCGGCCGGTTTAAATGAACTTGTCAACACTGATCTCAGTGATTTCCGTCGTGAACAACAAGAAGCTGTCAGTGTTGCACGCCGTTTGGAGGAGTTCAAAGTAAGAAGATCAATCTCAGCAAAAAAACAAAGACACACGCTCAGCTTTTTTTCACGGAGCTACGTCAATGAATCTGGGATAACAAGAGACAATAACGTATATCAGCCAATGATTAACACAAAACAACAGAAAAAAAAGATATATTTAACGTCACTTAAATATAGTACCACTACTGAAGAGTTTGATTTCAGCCATGTTAGCAGCATGTTGTCTGTATAAACATCTATTCACCTTTCAATCCTTCCCCCATAAAGACCACATCTGATGCCCTGAGTACTGTATATATCAATAAAGGCACGATTTGATGAACATTCGAATAGTTTCCGGGTTTCCAAGAGTAACTGCATAGGCAGAGACCACACTCACTAACTTCCGATGGAAACCAAGTCATTTTGTTCAATAAACAGGCCTGAAATATGACAGAAACCAATTTAGAAGTTCAAATTCAAATTCAGAAGAGCTTCAAGGGTTAATCTCAACAGTCTTTACAGGGTTAAAGAGTTAATGCAACTATGATGCTTTCATCTATGTTTCTAAGGGCTGACAAGAGACTTCTGCCCATTCATATATGAGGAAATTAATCAGGATTGATCTCCACCTGTCTCTGTGGCCAACATCAAGTCAAATTGGATTTCTAGCATAAATACCTACAAAGGAAAACATGACCCAGTCTGCCTCAAGCATCAGTCCCACAGACTCAGAGGCCTACTGGCACCAATCTGGCAATCACCAACCAAGAGGGATAAACCTGCATTCTCAAGTCATGCACATCTAGAGCCCAGTCAGCAATCCCCTTAGCAACCATTGGTTGCTAGAGAAAAGTATGAATCCCACAACTGGTTTGCAGCACCCCGATCTGTGACCAATCTCACCCAGCAACTGCCATCCAAGAAACAGTGAATACACACCTTTCACTAGCGACCAGGAGCTGCTAAGTGGTTGCCAACGAGTCTCTATGGTTGTGTTATTGAGTCCTTAACTGCACTTTGTGACCATCACAAACCCACAAACTTTGTATCCAAATCTACATAAAATGTTACATAAACAGAACACATTGCCAGCTACAGTGATTTTATTTTAATCTGCCACTTATTAATTTTGACCTTAAAACATCAAGGTGAGTTCTACCTTCTTTGCCAACCTGAACATTTTTTTAAAAAATAAAACTTTAACATTTATATTTCGTTGATCTGCAGGGCTGCAAGTCAAAAGCAAAATGCAAATCTTGTCAATATGAAAAGAACATGACTAGTGTGATTCAAATTGGAGGCAGAAAGTGACTCCAAGGTGAGTAATGTTGTTGTCAGCTGTTTCTTCTGGGGTCTTTAATACCCGCCAGCAACACCCAAACTGGTGCAGACAATATAAGATTAGTGATAAAGTAGGACAGGCTGGTCCACTTTTTTCCTCCTGAGAGCCTTCTTGTCTATTTGTGGTTACACGGGGAAATATGTGACAATTATGTTCATAAAAATAAAAATCACACCGAGGGGGAATAAAGTGATAACTTAAAAAAAAGACAGTATCAGGATTTGTTTGATTTTTGACTTTTCTGCTTTCTCTGCTCGCTGCGGTTTCCTTTGTGAACACTTCAAAGAAAATGGAAACACTTTGCAGTGTGTTTTAATCATGCACAAAATGTAGAGATTGTTAAAGACTAGGGGGGAGTCCCATCAATCCTGTTGTCCTTCTAATGGCCAGCTGGGGTTAACACAGTCTGAGGTTAATTACTCTCATATCATTGTAAGCGTGCGTGTGTGTGTGTGTGTGTGTCAGTATGAGACGGGCGGAGTGGACGCTCCTGGGTGCCCCTATGTGCTGAATACCCATCTCATCAATCATTCTTCCTTCCCTCAGTAGAGAGGGAGTGATACAGAAATAAAGAAGGAAGTCCTGAGTAATGTTTTTAAAATCAGGCTCCAACCTCCACTCTAGAAATTAACCCTAAAGGCCAGAGACATCTGCTGGAGTTTGACCTCGATGAAGGTACTTCTCACAGTGCTCTTTTAGCCTCTTTTCTGTCATCACATCCCATCACACCCAAGAAATAGATGAATTATGATTAAAATGAGGAAAAAAGAACTGAACAGTGTATACAAGACATCACAGGAAGTCCAGAAAATAAAACTAAACATCAAAAGTTCAAGGAGAGCGAGTAAACTGTTTCCATGGTCAAGTTTGAACCTAAATCTGAATATTTGATCCTACACAAAAAACAGCTGACAAATGTCCTGATCAGGTTATCCGCCCAACACTGGGCTAACACACACAGAGACAGACAACCACGAACTCCCACATTCACATCTACACCAATTAACCTAACATACATGTCTTTGAACTGGGCACCTAGTGAGAATCTGATGCTTTCCTGAAAACGTTTAAATTTAGAATAAGGAGCAGACCAGCTACCTGAACGCTACTCCCATAGAAGTCGATTATCTTGTTAAAAATTCTACTTCTTTATTACATATGACTCTCGATACTGTAGCTCCTGTTAAAAAGAGACCTTCAAATAGGAAGTACTTGAAACAGATAACGCTTAAGCTGGAGAGGAAATGGCGTATCACAAATTTAGAAGATCATCATTTAGCCTGGAAAATTAATTTGCTGCTTGATAAAAAAAAAACCTCTGTAAAGCTAGAACATCTTAGTATTCCTCATTAATTGAAGAAAATAAGAACAACCATATGTTTCTCTTCAGCGCTGTAGCCAGGCTAACAAAAAGCCAAACACGGGTCTCATGCAGAGCCATTCATTCTAACATTATGGTACATGCAGTACCACTGATATTTATTTAGAATCTTTTTCTCCAATTGATCTTTCGGAGTTAACTTCAGTAATGACTTCCTCCAAACCATCAACGTGTCTTTTACACCCCATTCCTACAAGACTGCTCAAAGAAATCCTGCCATTAATTAATCCTTCAATCTTAAATATGATCAACCAGTGAACTGAACAATCTGTGAACTCATTGTTTGTTTATTTTATCTTGTGTTTTTTTAAATTGTTCTTTGTTTTATCATTGTTCTACGATGTGTCTTATTCTACTATTTACTGTCTTTGGGTTTCTTGAAAGGCGCTTTTAAATAAAATTTCTTCTTCAGATCTCTAATAATTGGCCATGTACCACTGTCTTCCAAGCTGGTGTTACTTAAAAAGTCCTCTCTTGACCCAGCGATCTTAGCTAATTATAGGCCTATCTCCAACCTTCCTTTCATATCAAAAATCCTTGAAAGAGTAGTTGTAAAACAGACAACAGATCATCTGCAGAGGAATGGTTTATTTGAAGAGTTTCAGTCAGGTTTCAGAGCTCATCACAGCACAGAAACAGCTTGAGTGAAGGGTACAAATGATCTTCTCATGGCCTCTGACAGTGGACTCATCTCTGTGCTTGTCCTGCTAGACCTTAGGCAGCGTTCAATACTGTAAACCATAATATTTTTTATTATTAGAGCAATTAGAGCATACTGTAGGTATTACAGGTACTGCACTGTAATGGTTTGAATCTATCTAATAGAGCCCAATTTGTACATGTAAATGGAGAGTCCTCTTCACACAATAAGGTTAATTATGGAGTTCCACAGGGTCCAGTGCTAGGACCAATTCTGTTTACATTATACATGCTCCCCTTAGGCAGCATCATCAGAAGACATAGCATACATTTTCACTGCTATGCAGATGACACCCAACTTTATCTATCCTTGCAGCCAGATAACACACACCAATTAGTTAAACTGCAGGAATGTCTTAAAGACATAAAGACCTGGATGGCCTCTAACTTTCTGCTTCTTAATTCAGATAAAACTGAGGTTATTGTACTCGGCCCTAAAAATCGCAGAA